GCAATTCACAGTTTCCTTGTAACTAGTGGATAACGTGAGGAAACTAGCTGTGACTGAGTCAGGAGTAGGGGGAAATCTCTAAATGGGGACACTTCTTCTGGGGATATATCTATCTAAGGTGGGAATTCCCTTCACTGGGAGGAGCTTTTCTCTCATGTACTGTTGTGTCCTCAAAGTAGGAAGTGTGATTAAATCCCTCCAAAGGAGGGGTGCAATAAAGGTTCTAACTCTCCTCTCTTTTGTCCAAAACAACAAACAAGGGTTTGGGCTGGATTTCCACTTAAAAGAAGTACATTCCCAAAGCTGACAAACTTTATGAAAAATACCAAGCGAATGCACATAGGCAGTGTTGAAAACTAATATTTAGCAATTGTTTACAATATTTCTATTGTGATGGAGTGTGTTTAGAAAGGACTCAGATGTGTATATAATATGAAAAATATTTATTTAAATTCTTGTTGGTTTAAAAGATTCATGCAGTTCAATAAAATATTATTTACAACTTCTCTTGTGGTGATATTCATGTGTAATTCAAAGATACATGTATCTAATTCTATGACTATTGCTGATTAGTATATTAGCAAACCGTATTTCAAACATTCTCAATACATTCATGTGGATAAGGATATACACATAATTGATCCTTTCTAATACAGGTATATTACTAATTGATGAGTCCCCTACGCGTTACGCCCAGATAGGCTTCCTCAGGGGGATATATTCACTCTGTATGTTTGTATATACCGACTTTCAGCAATAATCTGTTTTTTCAAAAGAAAAATATCATAAAATACCATATAGATTAATATTGAACCACAAGATAAAATCAACATACAGTATATCAGTAAACTTCCATTCATTTCATTTCCAGTTTCTAATTATGTACATAATTCAATCATTTTTCATTTGTCAATGAAATATCAATTTTTATCTTTTTCATGTGTCATTGATAGCTTGACATTCATATTCATGCATGGGGAATCTTATTCACATTGATTGTTTATCCATCAAGATTAATTCATTTTTAGTACATCAATTAGATTGTTTAAATTCATTATTAATTAACTTGTTCAATATATATACAGAGATAATTCATCATTGTTTGTATTTGGTAATAGTATTTTACAGAAACCAAATTCATTGGTCTAAATGTATCAGAAAGTAGTAATTTACCATACATGTATATATATATAATTGAATTGTATTACCTTTCTATTCGACTATTTCAACCCGGGACTGCAAGATCCTGGAGAGGATTTTCATCCCCCTCCAGGGTGATGGGGTTACTTTCGTCTACTCTGAAACAGAGTATCACCCGGTGAAACCAGAGACGCACAGGGAATCCAGTGCAACTTCACAGTGCTAGAAAATGATCATAGTGCTTAATTTGTATCAAAGTCTGTGTTTCATTTTATATTCAGATGTAGTGAATTATTCATGTTTGTAGTGCTCTCCCTCTATTCCTAATTATAGTGCGCCGATATGTCCAGGCGGTCTCACAGACCATGTCTACCTATATACCTATATTAACGTGATTAGGTTCAAAATCTGTGTAGTCGAGGCTTTAAATAGCCCTTTCTATGCCATTCAGCGGTGTTTGTGTTCATATTTCAAATAAAACATGCTTAACCCCAGCCCTTTAGAGATCTCTTTGAATTCATAGCCCCACATACCTTGGCTTTATCGGTATGTTATCTATATTTCAAATATTCTATAGCTCCTTACCCCCAAACGCATACTTGAAAATGTTTAGTGCTTCTACAATGCCAATCCACATACACATCATTAGTGCCCCAACGTTCCTTTACCTTAAGCAATCACACCCACTGCATGGTAAGCTTTCTCAGCCGTAGTGAATCAGTATAAAATATCTTGTTTCCTGCGTGTCGATCCGTGTGTATCTCTCCGTTCCCTTTCTCTGCACTGAGAGTTTGTATCCCTTTTTATGCGTCCACCCTCCCGCGATCGCCACGCTGACTAGTGTGTGACGTCAATGGGGGGGTGTGGCAATCCTACAGGCCGCATCTAACTCACTCCCTTCATGCTTGTTATATCTATGTTGCTAAGCAACCTTTGTCGCTTTTTCAAGGCTGAAAAAGCGATACTTTCTTTCCACGATTTGCATTTGGATTCCCATTATTATTTTAACTTGGTATATATCGTTAGCAACAATTTTGATCCTCACTTAGATTTGCTATTATGGTTATGCCTTGCCTCTCAGTTGGATGCCATCTGGTTCCGCCGTGTGTGAAGTTCCCCCCAGCACTGATCCCCAGTCTCCAAGGGATCCTAGTCATATAATATACTGTATATACTGTTTACAAAAGTTTTTTATTATTACATTTGTGCATAAATGAATACATAGATGTTCCCTTGATGAAAGGTTCCTCCACCACATCCCCCAGTTCCGTTTTCCTCCCCATACACAGATATATCTATTCTGACATGGGTGCATATGTTTCCAATTGCAAGCCCATTCTATAATCACATAGTTCCATGCGTTCGTATAATTTTGTGATTCTCGGTAATATATATTTTTATCTTTCCTACCTTGGTATTTTGCTTCTATATATTTCTATTTTTAATTTCATCTGTATATATGGATGGAAAGAAACTGGGCGATGTGGAAGGGAACCCCCCATTTCCTCCTGTTCCTTATGAACTGCCATATGGCTATATCAGACCTCTCAGTCCTACATCCTCTTTTAGTTCTCTCCTCTTTTTGAAACCTATTTATATATATGTCACATAGTTCACATTATATCCTAAGTCTTATTAGTTATGAGTGGTCTTTCTGTTTACATGATAATTTTCTAATCAGTACTTTGATTAGACTGTACTCAGTACAAATGCAAATCGTGGAAAGAAAGTATCGCTTTTTCAGCCTTGAAAAAGCGACAAAGGTTGCTTAGCAACATAGATATAACAAGCATGAAGGGAGTGAGTTAGATGCGGCCTGTAGGATTGCCACACCCCCCCCATTGACGTCACACGCTAGTCAGCGTGGTGATCGTGGGAGGGTGGACGCATTAAAAAGGGATACAAACTCTCAGTGCAGAGAAAGGGAACGGAGAGATACACACGGATCGACACGCAGGAAACAAGATATTTTATACTGATTCACTACGGCTGAGAAAGCTTAACATAGCAGTGGGTGTGATTGCTTAAGGTAAAGTAACGTTGGGGCACTAATGATGTGTATGTGGATTGGCATTGTAGAAGCACTAAACATTTTCAAGTATGCGTTTGGGGGTAAGGAGCTATAGAATATTTGAAATATAGATAACATACCGATAAAGCCAAGGTATGTGGGGCTATGAATTCAAAGAGATCTCTAAAGGGCTGGGGTTAAGCATCTTTTATTTGAAATATGAACACAAACACCGCTGAATGGGATAGAAAGGGCTATTTAAAGCCTCGACTACACAGATTTTGAACCTAATCACGTTAATATAGGTATATAGGTAGACATGGTCTGTGAGACCGCCCGGACATATCGGGCACTATAATTAGGAATAGAGGGAGAGCACTACAAACATGAATAATTCACTACATCTGAATATAAAATGAAACACAGACTTTGATACAAATTAAGCACTATGATCATTTTCTAGCACTGTGAAGTTGCACTGGATTCCCTGTGCGTCTCTGGTTCCGCCGGGTGATACTCTGTTTCAGAGTAGACGAAAGTAACCCCATCACCCTGGAGGGGGATAAAAATCCTCTCCAGGATCTTGCAGTCCCGGGTTGAAATAGTCGAATAGAAAGGTAATACAATTCAATTATATATATACATGTATGGTAAATTACTACTTTCTGATACATTTAGACCAATGAATTTGGTTTCTGTAAAATACTATTACCAAATACAAACAATGATGAATTATCTCTGTATATATATTGAACAAGTTAATTAATAATGAATTTAAACAATCTAATTGATGTACTAAAAATGAATTAATCTTGATGGATAAACAATCAATGTGAATAAGATTCCCCATGCATGAATATGAATGTCAAGCTATCAATGACACATGAAAAAGATAAAAATTGATATTTCATTGACAAATGAAAAATGATTGAATTATGTACATAATTAGAAACTGGAAATGAAATGAATGGAAGTTTACTGATATACTGTATGTTGATTCTATCTTGTGGTTCAATATTAATCTATATGGTATTATATGATATTTTTATTTTGAAAAAACAGATTATTGCTGAAAATCGGTATATACAAACATACAGAGTGAATATATCCCCCTGAGGAAGCCTATCTGGGCGTAACGCGTAGGGGACTCATCAATTAGTAATATACCTGTATTAGAAAGGATCAATTCTGTGTATATCCTTATCCACATGAATGTATTGAGAATGTTTGAAATACAGTTTGCTAATATACTAATCAGCAATAGTCATAGAATTAGATACATGTATCTTTGAATTACACATGAATATCACCACAAGAGAAGTTGTAAATAATATTTTATTGAACTGCATGAATCTTTTAAACCAACAAGAATTTAAATAAATATTTTTTCATATTATATACATCTGAGTCCTTTCTAAACACACTCCATCACAATAGAAATATTGTAAACAATTGCTAAACTCATTAAGTAGGAGGTGTGGACTCAGGTCACCTAGGGTGGGGTCTGGGAAGTACCATTACTGGATTGACAAAGAAAACTAATATTTAATCACCTGCATGTTCAATATTCTGGCACATTTAGAAGATGCTGATGTGCAATATCAAGTTGTTCCTCCCAGAAGTAAACTATCCCTTCTGCAGAAATGAAGAAGGATATAAACATGGGCAGATAAAAATGCCCCACAATTCACAAATCCTCAGATAAAAAGCAAATACAAAAAGGTGATGTAAACCTAATAAAGTAAAAAGTAAAACATCAATCTATAACATATTTTGAAGGTCAGTCAACTCAAAACATTATAATGTTACTTTAATATTATATGCATAATTATCTTTAACAGCAACTTACCGCCTCCATTCTTTCCACAGAGGTAGGGAAATCTCCAGACATTTCCTAAGCCAATTGCATAACCAACACAGGACATAAGGAAGTCAAACCTCCCTTTCCAGGTGTCTCTTTCAGGATCTTCATTTCTTTTCTTCTGCACTTTTACAACCAAAGTCTTGGGCTTATCATTTGTGATAGGAGCTTCACTGACTTCCGTGGAAATTTGTCCATCTGCCACCTTAGTTCCATTTGTTGCCATGTCTCTTGGTTTGGAATGGCAGTGCCTGGTACCCAGACGAGAGATTTCAGCACCAGTCCACGTGGACAGCAGCTTCGCGGCTCCTGATGACTTCACTAGGGTTACAAAGGTGTATGGAAAGTACTGTATTGATGATTGTAGATTTATATCCCCAAATGGTTGTAGGATTTAACGATAAGCTGCAAAAAGATAAAAGATTTATATATTCATGTTGTAACAATAAAGCCTTTGATAATGGTTAATCAACAAAGATAAATTATCTATACAATAGGTATACAATATTATTAACTGGAATAAGGATGGTACCAAAGCTCAACTGATTATTGTGGCACTCTACTCCACGAAATCAGGGTTTCCCTTTATCAGTCCTAAAAAGGGTATACTTTTCTTCTTTTTAGGTTTTAAAGACTTTCTGAAAGCAGAACTCCTAGGAGAGCAAATCAGTTGTATAGTTTATAGTACATTTACCACACTGTCTCTGTTCATCCAATATACAGCTTCAACATTTTATATCAGGACCAGTTTCAGCTGATGCTTCCATTTCTGTGATCTTCCCTCTGCTATAATGCATGTTGGATCCACTATGTCTGAAATCCTGAACATGTAATAAGACCACAAAACAGTAAGTAGCCACAGAAGTTATCTATTGATATCTATTGATGCTGTTTGTTACAGTAGGAGCTATTCATAGGATCTTTAGAGAATATGGTGCCCTAGAATATGTAAATGAACCTACAATTTCATTAGAGTCCTTCCCTTCAGTCACAACACAAATGGAAACTGCAGTGTGAGGGAATTTCAACTCTGAATTTTTGTTTTTTGTTTTAGATGATGATGACCCAACATCTATTCTTTACTTTTTCATAAAGTGTTTGGGATGAAATTTAACATTTACTTAAGTTTAAAGTATATCTAAAGCCAAGACTTTTTTTCTTTATTTTGGAGATAAAAGGGGAGGGTCAAAACTACTATCCCTTTGTTTTTGTTTTTTTCTTTTTGCTGTCTGTGTTATTTATATTATGAAGTTTTTAATCTTGTCCTTTACACTCATTAGGGAGTGTACATATGCATTTACAAATGTCCCCTTTGGAAGATTTCTTCTCAATTCCTGTTCCTAGCAACTGAAAACCTTGGATTTACCCTAACTTTCATTCCTTCTGACACTGGTGATAAGGACAATTAGAGAGAAAGTGACTCTACCTAAAAGGAACAGAGGCAGCTTAAAAACCTGACAAGTTCTAACCCTTCAATGCACGATCCAAATCTGAAAAAAAACAGTAAACTTTTGTCTTTAGTTATACTTTAATAAGTGGGACAAGGTCTAGATAAATCCTTTACCAGTTCACTTGGGTAGGAGGTAGTAAATTAGACTACACTTAACCACTTCATGGGGAGGGGGCATATACGTTGTTATCAGCACAAGAGGGTGTCAAAAACATTTCCCTGATGCTGATGTGCATATGGGCTGGGGTCAACGGGTTGGTTATTTTTTTTTTGCAATGGGGATAAAAGGCAATATGCCTGGTGTATCTTGCAGGGGGTGTAGTGGACATTTAGATTTTTTTTTATTGCAAACTGTTGTGGATCCAATCTTATCAAAATAGGATCATTAGAGCTGATCAAGAAAATGGCTAGTGAAGGTCCCATTTACTGCCCTAACTATTGTCTCATGGGTGTCTCATGAAAAACACACAATGTTGGCTATATACTAATTCACCCTTAACAAAAACACACACATTGCACTGCTGAACCTTAGAGGCACTTCAAAACATGAGCAAGTCAATTAGAGCTAGCATAAATCACATGTCAAACAACCCAAAATGATTATTATTTCTGAGCTATGACCCATGGTGAATTAAAACTATTAAAGCTTTTATTTAGAAGCACAAGCCACAAGGATGCCCCCTCCTGTGGTGCTCTTATCCCTTGTAGAATCAAGCCTACAAAGAGTTGTGTACAGCAAGGAAATGTTGAAGGTAGAAATTAAATCTGACATTGCTGGATATGTTACATTGCTAACATAATTTTCAGTAAAATTGGTAGACAACATATTTAATTAAACTCCTACTGGCTAGGAGTGTAAGAATGTGAGCAATAATATTTATTAAACAGTTTTTGTACAGGAACTGTTCCTGTTAAAATATACTTCTGATTAATTTTGATTGAGCTGTAAAAAACAAAAAGCAATCAGAGTGTCAATGTCAATGCTCTAAATGAACACCTGTTCACAATGCAAAGTGAATTTTCATGGAACTGTTCACTTAGGGGTCTATTCACAAAGCTGCCGAAGGATCTGGCTGTAGCTTTGGCCGATCCTTCGGCTAGCTTTCTAGTAAATGTGGTAAAAAAATAATTTTCAAAGAATACATGTGCAGGGTTTTCTTCTTTAAATTGACATTTGCTTGCAAATGATTGGATGATTGAATTCAGCAGAGCTTCACCTCATTCACTAAGTCAAGGAAAAATTCCCCTGCAAAGTGCAAAATCACTTTGCCAAGTGAACAGCCTATGCTTCTTTAGTAAATCAACCCTTCTGTTTTGCTTTTTTTTTAGATTAAGGCATGTATCCTTTACTGCTTATCCTTCAGGGGTTGGTCAAAGTTTATTCCACCTATGCCTCAGCTCCTACCGGATGTTCGCTGTTCAGCCTGTCTTATGACACACAGCCTTTCTTCCAAATACTTCAAAAATGCCAAACAGCACTAACATTACATGCATTCTGTAGACTCATTTCTCTTTAATGTAAGGTCTATCCACAGCCTATTAAGGTCGTGCTGTGTAGCCTTTTGAAGAGCCCAAGGGAATGGTTCACAATGCCTATAGGGGAAATCTGACTGAAACCTAATAATGAGTAATGACCAAGCTGCCTGGGGGACAGAAGAGGGATTAATAAAGCTTGAGTGCAATAAAAAGGTCAGCTATCCTTTAAAAGGCCTAATAAAATATAATATTTGGTTGCATATTTTTGGTATGAATCATGTGAGATTTTATTATGGTAGTGCACCTCTATCCCATGCAAAATGTCATTCCATCCGGCCAGTGTTCCAAACCATCCAGTGTTCCAATGCTTACTTTTCTAATGACAACTGTTTACATCTATCTATGCACAACCCAAAATTAATGTCATGCCAGATTCTGAGAACCCAATCTGAATCAAGATGCTAATTTTCCAGAATAAACACCATATAAATGTTCATCTTCAGACTGCCAGTTAAATCGTATATTTTACTCCTATTATTTGACCAACAAAAACTCACAGACATAAAACAGAATACTCAGGGTTGATATTGACTTACTCTCAAACAAACTTAATATGCTTCCTGTATGCTAACTGACAGCTATAAATCTATACATGAATGTGTGATAAATACCTATACTATATTCCTGTAGACACAGCATTGGTTCTACAAATACCCTGTACAATCATAATGAAAAGAAAATAGATAAACAATTATAAAGAAAAGTGGTGTAGACTACAGACTGATCCAAAGAAGTTTATAACAGGGGAACTCCCCTTTAGGTAACTCAAACACAGTGAGTAAAAACACTAATTCATACCATTATTCTAGAATAGATAGCATATGCATAAAGCATATCTAAATTAAAAAACAAAAATGTATTATAAGTTCATAGATGTGCAACAGCTTCCACTCTCCTCATATCCATAACAGGGTGGTGAAACGTAGTTCACGTAGGTAGGGCTAATAACATTGCTTTGGATTTTTGTGCAGCATAGGCAGAGTACACAGAAAATAAAGATCTGAGTACATTTAATTCTGCAGATCGACAGGTATTTTTCTCCTCTTCTAAAGAGATAAAACAAATGTAAATGTTTATGTATTATAAACATGTACTGAATGTTTTTTTTTGCCCTGACATATACTTTAAGGCAGCGTTTTTCAACCACTGTGCCGCGGCACACTAGTGTGCCGTGAGATATTTTCTGGTGTGCCGTCAATAAATCGTTAATTTCTTTGATCGATCAAAATTATTTTAATCGATCAAAGTTACTCACCTTTCCGCCGGCTTCCGGGTCTTCCGTCGGAGATCCGGTGACGTCACGGACATCGACGTCACCGGACTCCTCCCCCCTTCCCCGAGTGGCTCTGTCGGCTAACGAAGGGAAGGGGGGAGGAGTTGGGTGATGTAGTTGTCCGTGATGGGTAACGAAGGGAAGGAGGGAGGAGTCCGGTGACGTCACGGACATAGACTCCTCCCCCTTCCCTTCGTTACCTGACGGAATCACTTGGGCTGAGTCTCCTCCTCACTCTTGGGCCGGTGAGTCATCGCATGTGTGTACAAGGCAAAATCTGCTACCCTGGTGAGACCCCACAAAGCCATGGGGCTTTTGGGGTTGTGTGGTAACGCTGGGTGTGCCATGAAGGAGTTATTAAAGTGATCATTAAAGTGTGACTCATTCTAACCGCAGAGGGCAGAACCAAATGTAAAGCCCCCCCCCTAACCCGGCTTCCTAGGAAAGAGAAGGGGGTGAAGGTGTTTCCCCCCGGAGTGTGGTGAGACCCCCTATGAGCCCTAGTGAGACCCCACAAAGCCATGGTGAGACCCCATGGAGCCCTGGTGAGACCAGGGCTCTGTGGGATCTTGCCAGGGCTCTGTGGGGTCTTGCCAGGGCCCTGAGGGGTCTCACCAGGCTGGTGAAATCGCACATAGCCATGGTGGGACCCCATAGAGCCCCGTGTGAGACCCTACGGAGCCCTGGTGCTGGTGAGACCCTACAAAGCCCGGGTTTAACCAGGGCAGTGTGGGATCTCACCAGGGCTCTGAGGGGTCTAACCAGGCTGGTGAGACCCCCACATAGCTCTGGTGAGACCCTACAGAGCCCTGGTTAAAGCAGGGCTTGGTAGGGTCTCACCAGGGCTCTGTGGGGTTTAACCAAGACTAGTGAGACCCCACTGAACCCTACTTTAACCAGGGCTACGTCAGTGCTACAGTTTGAATTTAAAACGTATTTGTGTGAAGTGTGAAGTTAAGTCATGGATTGAACAGAAATATGAACAATTATAAAATACTTTATTATTTCATAATAAAGTAATTATAAAATAATTTCTTTGTGTTTATTTGATTCCTATTCAAGAGAATTACTTTATATATAGTCAATATAGGCACAGAGGTAAATTTTTTTAACATTTTCTAATGGTGGTGTGCCTCGTGATTTTTTT